TTTTTTTTGGTGTCAGATTGAAAAGGATCACTGGCAGTATTTGTGGTTTGGGGATTTTCTTTCTCACATTAGCACTATTGCTTTGCTGATGGTTTTTGGCTGGGGCAGTGAATGGGGCTACTTTGATTTGCTTTGTTTTCTGTTTTGGATTGGAGGGTGTCAGTGTCATTCTAGCAACAGAGAACTGGGGAACTCATCCCCTGTAGGTAGCATATTGCTTCAAGGATGCCCTGGCATGAGAGACTGCAGAGCTTCTCTCTCTTTTCTTAGTCATTTATACATCTGGACTGTGACTCTCCATACAGACTTAGAGACAAGCCCTGCTGGCTCCAGAGAAAGATTTCTGGGGGATCTCAGATAGAACTGAACTCCCCTGGTGGATCTGTGGTTTCAGCATGCATGACATGGGGTGGGTGGGATTGGGAGGGGACTGATGCCACATGGGTGCGGTAAGCTCAGAGAAGTGCACTGGTCCCATCACTGACACCAGCAAACATTCAGCATCAATCTGCTTGAAATGCAGGAGCAAGAGAGGCCTGAAAGGGAAATGTGTTCACTGGTGCGAGGCAGCAGAGGAATAGCTCTTATTGAGGTTTTCCCAGTGGAAAAGAGCCTGGATATGGGAGTACTTTGCACAGTCCTCCCTTGAAGGATGCAAAGAATCTCATCAGGACCCTCTCAGGACACTACAGTCCCAGAACCATCCTGGCAGCAGAGATAGGGCTGTTCTGTCCAGGGCTGAACTCATCAGAGATCCATGCCACAGCAGTCTCAAGTGTTCTGAGCAGCCACGGTGGTTTGGATAGAAGCAGAAACACCTACTTGCTGAGGAAACATAGGATGGGTCACACCCAGCTCCACAGCCTCTGGTTCCCTGGGACTTTTGTTTCTTAAGAACTATCTTTGGGTCTCAGAGGTGCAGTGGTCGATAAACCCTGTGCGTAGGGTGCAAAGGTGCTTCCTGCAAGCACCTTTGTATATGTATATATATATATACATACATAACTTATACCCTTTCTTCCTAATTAGACTGGTAATCCCACTGCTGGGCAGCTCTTCCTTTGGGTGGGGTGGCTGTGGATTTAGCTGAAAGTGGCATGCTGTTTCTCAAGATCGTTATTATAAATTTTAATGGCATTTTTGGTGACTTCTGAGTGGTCATTTAGCACCAATCATTTATATAATTATGTAATGCCTCAGCCAGATATCTGAGGGTGAAGAGTAAACCACCTCTGAACTACCAAACACTATAAAAACCTAGCAAGTGGAAAAGCCATATGTCCATCTAATACAAAGACTGCATGCTCAACAAAACCAGACGGGGAGAGGAAACTGAGAGTCACGCTTGCCTCAAAACACACCATATTGCTTTTTGCCTATACAGACAATTTCTGCTTCTTAGGATGTAACCAGATTAACCTTGCTATTATTGTCTGCCAGGGTGCTGAGTCAGTTGTGTTCCTATGTCTGTGAAAGTGTCAGCTATAGGGAACAGGAAGGGCATGGGTTTCTGCAGTGGTGGGGGTCCTTAGATTAGCTGAGTTAGAGTGCTGGGGTGCAGCTGTGGGAATTCTTGCCTACAGTTTCCAAATGCATCTGTTCTAAGCTATGAGGAATCTCCTCCATCTGTGCAATTTTACTTACTATTTCAACACTGGCTTCTTGAGATTTTCCCTGCCCTCCTTTCAATCTCCTATCTCACATCTCTGGTTCCCTCTCCTCTGCATTTCACCTCAATGGGTTTCCTGCTGGGTGAAATATACATCCTCCTCTTCCTTCCCATTCCCTCCCTTCTCCCACTGTTGGCAGTTTTCCAATATAGCAACCTTGACCTTATCTTCAATTCTTTCCATTTCCTCTTCTTCAGCTAACACTATCGGTGAACTCTGCCCATTTTCCTCTCCTCCATCCTCCAAAGGCTGGCCATGCATCCTGCTGGCCATGTATCCTGCTGGATATGTTGTCATTTCTTTCCCTGCTGCCTGCAGTCCCCTCAGTTCTGGCCTCCTTTATGTGTGCCTCAGTGCAGGAAGCTGATAGGGGTTTGGATGAACCTTTTTTTTTTTTTTCTTGTGAACAGCACTGAAATCAGTGGGAATGAAGCACCAAGCCCTTTAAAAAACACCAACTCTTTGTGTGTCCGGAAAGAGCCGTCCCTAAGGGCACAGCTGCACAAGAATCACTGACTGCAGTGATGAGTATCGAGCCACCCCTAGCTGTGTGTGTGCTTTTACATCCCCTAGCTGCAAAGAGCAGGGATGTTGGTGAGATCCTGCCTTGCTCCCCCACTTTATTCACATGTGTGTTTACCTTTTGTAGCACCAGTCTGGCATGGTGGGGGGGTCTCTGTGGCCTGGAGCAAAGGGCCAGTGGTGTGGCCATGTGGTGCACTCACCATTGCTGATGATGGCACTCAGTAATTTGGACATCTCTTTCCATTGGCTGGGGCTTCTGGCTTTCAAGCTAAGGATCAAGGATCGTGCCTATTTCAGAAATGAAGTAATCTGTCACTTTGACTACAAGTTTTGGGTCTACCTCTTTAGCTGCATTTCTCATTCTTTAAAATAATTTTTCCCTTCTCAGTCAAATTCTCTACCTGTGTTCAGGGGCCACTCAGTTAAGTGAGGTCACTTGTCTGAGAAGGAAGATGACCCATTGAAGGCTTTTTGTGTGATGTTATATATCCAGTTTATCACTGTGTTTGCAAGAATGCTTTTATCTTGTCAGTGTGGTGATTGGTTAAGTATGATCAAGCTCTTTAGAAAACATCTCTTTCTAATAATTTTTGTTTCATTTATATTCTGTAGTAATTTTGAGAGTGATTGCGATCACGAAAGTGCTTTGTAGCTCATCAGTGACTTCAGTTATGTGAGAAGCTGCTGCTGTTTTTCATATGGGAGACCTTGTGATCTACTCTAGTTTGACCATGAAACTGTATTTAAAATGTTGTCAGCAGCAATATCCAGCAGAATTCCTTTTAACTGTCATACTACTCTCAACTCCAAAGAAATATTGGATGTTAGACCTTTGCTTGGCATTTCCTGTGTTAGTTCTGAAGAGGGCCATTGGACAAGATCTATATCAAGTACGACCACAAACTCCCGAATATTCTTCTTTTGGTTGTCATAAACCTGGTCACTTATAGAAAGAAAGCATCTTTTATCACGAAGCCAGAGTAATTATGTATGCACAGGTGTCTCTGACCTCTATGGGAAGCTGATTCTGGAAGGACTCTGTTGCATTTACCAGCCCTGTGAGAAATTTGTACCCCATTTTGCAGTTGTAAGTCTCAGCTGTAGGCTGGCTGGATCCAGTCCAGTGCTCCCTCCCCAGCCTTTGTCTTTTCTGTCTGATCTTACGGTCGGGGTGGCTGAGGATGTGTGCCCAGGTGGCCACAGCTCCAGCAAGCTGTAATGCTCTGCCACTAGGTCCAGAACCATGCCCATCCTGTGAATGCCTCTGCTTTTTCAGTCTGATAAATAACCTTGGAGGGTTACTGAGGGGTTAGTAGGTCTAACTTTCCATTTTTTGAGATGCCACCCCCTCTCCAAAGGAAGTTTGTGTATCACTTGTGAGTCAGTTCATGAAAGTTGCTATTATGAGTAAATGGCTGTTGGTCATGGCATGGGTTAGGCACAGATCAGTGGCTAGGGCTTGAAAGTCTCCATGCCTTTGGCATGTAGCCTAATGGATTAGCCCATTCTTTCCTTTAATATATCCACATTAATGCTTTTATGAGTAAAAAGGTCCCTACAACTTAAAATATTTGGAAGAATGAGAGCTGAGAAAGTGCCCCTCCATTGGTTCTCCTTTACTGTGTTGCCCAGAGAAGCTGTGGATGCTCTGTCCCTGGAAGTGTTCAAGGCCAGGCTGCACAGGGCTTTAAGCAACCTGATTTAGGGGAAGGTTCGCTGCCCATGGCAGGGGCTTGGAACTGGAGGAACTTTAAGGTCTCTTCCAACCCAAACCATTCTGTGTTTCTATTATCTGTGATTCTTCTGGCACAACTAACTTGCTGGCCTTGGTATGGAAGGCAAAGTGATGAGACAAAGCATATTTAAATGTGGAAAAGACATGAATAGAGTGCCTCGTGTGCTGTGTGTGAAAGCATTCCTGTGATGGTGCTGCATGCTGCTCTGCCATCCTAATTTGCTTTCAGAGGCCCCCAAATATAATAATTCTTTGTGCTTCCTAAAGGACGTGAAGACTAAATACAAGTTTGGTCAATGATTTCATTGTTGATTTCTCCCAGAGTTACAAAGCTATGCAAAAATATTAGGGACAGGCAGGGTGCATCTCACTGAATAAAGATATTGTGTCTCTCATAATTCAAGCTGGATGCCCGTAGAAAAAGGAAAGTCCTATGCAAAATGCTTACAAGGCTGGTTGGACAGTGGAAATCTTTTGTAAAATGTCATTTCGGCATCCTTCCCAATGGAATCCTTCATGCAGGAGGACTGGCCAGCATTTTGGAAACAAACCCAGCCAACATTAGGTTTGGACATCTGCTTGTTTTAAGGTTGCTTTCACAATTTTCTCTGTAGCTGAAGATCGGTACTTGATGTCAATGTGAAAACGCTGCCAGAGAAGCAATGAAGTTATGCCAACTGTTTCTTTCATGAGCACAGCTTCTTAGAAATGACCGTTTTATGCTGGAAAATCATCTTGTTTGCATTGCTCCCATGTCCAGAAGGATGAGTACTGTTTGATCTTGTCCTTGTAGAAAGCTATCCTAAATGAACAAAAAATGTTTCTTGGATCAACTTAGATTCAAACCAGGGTGACGTCCTGCCTGAACACATCTAGACTGAGTGCTGGCACTTAAATGGTGTCAGCTCAAGTGACTCGTGAGGAAAGGGTAGCGGTGTCTTTTGTCTTTGAAGGTGGCTAAGGGGATTGAATTTGAGACAAGCTAGTGGTCAAATTTTCTGGATAATTTCTTCATCCTTGCTTAAATCGCCCAAAGGGGAATTAACACGTATCTTATCTGATTTGCACAGGGACCAGCTCGCATGACATCTGATCTTGCATCTTCTCCTGCAGCGGGTTATGTCCCTGTGGGTCAGAAGCCAGAGGCTGTGGTGCATGCTATGAAGGTAAGGCTGTGTGGGACACTGAGGTGTCCTGTGTTGCACCCGAGTGGCAGAGCTGGGCATTGGCTCTTCTTGCGGAAACAACTGAACACAGAAAGTTAATAGGCAGGCAGGATATTGGTAACCAGCACCCGTGTCATCATGAATAAGCATTGCTTAAAATAGTCACAGAGCTAAGCAAGATTATGCATGGCTATTTTTTGGGGGTTGGAAACCTCCAATAAAAGCTGCTGGTGCTGAAGGTGTTGGTTATGTTTGTGTTCATCAGTCCTGTGTAAACTGAGTCATTGGGGTGACAGTGGTGACTGAAATGCTGTTTTAAAAAGGGACACAAAACCTGCATTTCCTCATATATTTTGTTATTGAAAATCCTGCGGCAGCCTTCAAAGGAGAAAGATTTTATTTTATGAAAATATGCAACAGTGGCATCCTACCCATGTAGGATGTGCTTTATCAGCTGGGGTTAAAGTCAGGACCACTGACAGTGGGACCATGGTAGGTGAGTTAAAGGAGAAAACTTGCACCATGATTTCACACTTTCAGGTTCTAGTGACCATCCATTATCAGAAAAAGTGTAATTCCCCAGTGCTGTATGTTTAACTAGTTAGACAAGGTACTTCTGAGTATCTAGGAGACACAGAAGCACAAATTCTTTACAAGGTGCCACAGGGATGGCCAGAAAGTCTCTTAACTAAATTAGTCTTTGGTTGAAATATAAAGATTTATAGATCTGGATTTGCTGAAGGTGAGGAATTTTGTACAGGGTTAAGAAGATTACATCAGTTCCTCAAAGGAGAATTCCTGGATGGCTGCTTTGGAGCTCAGATCCCTATGGTCATAGCTGGAAAAAAGGTCCAGCAGTGGCGTCACTAGCTTGGATGATCTTAGACCTGGAGACAGATGCTTACAAAACTCTTTGCTTTGTACCTTTCCACATCTGACAGATAAATAAATGATACAGATGTTGCTCATGGTTATGATTCACAAATTCCCTAAATTTTCTAATTTTCAGTGGTTCTATCTTAGTATATCATGCCTGTCCAGGGTCTCTTGGCTCCAGGACTGATGTGGTAGTGGTGGTGGTAAAACCAACAAATGTCAGGAAAAGCAGTAGTGTGGTTGGCAAGGATATTTGTTCTAAGTAGTTATTAAAGGCAAGACAAATTTGGTTTGATTTGGATCTAATTTGAATTTAAATTATAAATGATCCTTCAAATTGAAAATCTCGATTTTTCAGCTTTCTTGAGACTTTATACATCCAAATTGTAAACTCCTACTGGATGATTGTACAACTCCTTAAGAAAAGGATGTCCAGCATGGTCAAGGATTAAGAAATACCTTTAGTACAGTTTTTGCTTGTTCCCAAAGGAACTGACCACACAAAAGGCAGTTCACTTGCTGCCATATATTTGTCCTGTGTTTTCCAACAGGTTTCTTCTTTGCTTGTTGTGAATGGCTCTGTGCTATCAGAATTCTCCATCCTGTACTATGCTGCAATGTGTTTGTGGGTGACATTTCTCTAGTATATATATATATATACAGATGGATCTGCTAATCTGTTGCCTTGCAGAATGTTGCAAACTCATGTGAACCTTTGTTTTTCTGTCACTTTCTACTGATTTGGCTTTTGATTGCATTTAATCATCCAAGCCCTGATGCAGTCCAGACTACTGCTGTTGGCTTTTTCTTCCCAAACTGTGAAGTTCATACCTTTCTGCTCCTGCTCTTGATTGCATTTGGTGAGGTGGTGGTGAGGGATAGTATTAAGCAGAGTTGGTAGCGGTTTTAAATTACAAGATCAAATACTTATAAATTGATTATGATCATATTCTGGGGAGTACTTAGTTTCCTATTTGCTTTAGGAATTGCAGGACTGAATTTCTCACTAAGGGCAAGAAACATAAGTGGTTTTTAGATGTGGTTTGATAAGCTTATGAAAAGGATTGAAAATTAATGAGGAAGATTCCTGGAAACTGGAAATTAGGTTTGGAAAGTCTGGCACAATTTTTTATATAAAGGAATTGAAAGAAAATTAGGTGACTGGTTGTTTGCACTTATTAGTAATCCCTCTTCAAAGCTTTGTGGATTCTAGGAAGGCTAGAAGAAATTCAGAAGAAATTCTCCCTTGTGATTTCATAGTTTGGCTGGTGAGGTGCATTTGTCTGTCTCCAAAACCATGGAAACTGCCATGGCTTGAGTCAGGAAGAAGGTGACATAGCAGTCACATCTCACGGGGCATAAATGATCTCACGTGATGTGTTCTGCTCACTCACTTGAGGTTAAAAATATTCTCACATTTGAAGTGAGGAGGTAATTCTCCCATAGGGCAGTGTGGCACGGAGGGATGAGAAGGTACCTATTTTTCTATCCTGTGGCCCATTTCCAAGGATCATCTGGAAATGGAGGGACTGAGGAAACTCTTGATGGTCTCAATCTCTCCTCCTCCCTTGTGGCACAGTGAAATATTAGTAGCTGTTGGTCTCCAGCTGCAGGCATTTTTGCTGTAGCATATGGAGTAGGTCTTATTTGCACCCTGCAGAACTGGGTAGCTTTTCCAGTGCCAGCCCCTGCATGTGGGAAGCTGGATGCAGCTGCTACCCTAGACCCTCATCTCCTGTGATACAGATCATGACTCTCTCTTGAGAAGAGAGCAGCTTACAAATGAGGCTTTGTGCTTTGGCTGTACCACAACAGATATTGGAAAAAGCCCTTCTTGGTTGAAAAATGAAGTCCTTATGGCTGAGCAGGCCAGCTCCTCACTGCAAGAAAAGACAAGGAGAGATGGAAAGGCTATGAAGATGGCTGGGGTTGTTCAGCCTGGTGAAGAGAATGATCCAGAGGCACCTTATAGCACCTTCCAGTTCTGTAAAGGGAGCTCATAAAAAAGAGGAAGAGGGACTTTTACATCACATAGTGACAGGAAATGGTTTTAAACTGAAAGAGGGCAGGTTTAGATTAGATGTTGGGAAATAATTCTTCACTATGAGGGTGGTGAGGCACTGGCACAGGTTGCCCAGAGAAGCTGTGAATGCTCCATCCCTCTGTGAATGCTCCATCCCTGGAAGTGTTCAAGGCCAGGCTGGATGGGGCTCTGAGCAACCTGTTCTACTGAATGGTGCCCATGCCAACCCATTCTGTCACTCCATAATTCTGTGCAGTTGGCTCCGCTTGTCTTGTGGAACACTTGCATGGAAACCTGTCCACAAATGATGAGGCTGCAAGGATGTGGCTCTGTGCCCAAGCAAAAGTCACTGAGGGACTGTCCACTCCACATGGATGCTTCTGGACTTCCCCTGTCTGCACCCACATATGTAATATTCCCTAGACTTTTTACTTGGGATTTTCTGCAGGTTAAATTCTATCTCTGTGGCTGAAGTGCTGCCTGCAATTTCTTCCTTGAATGCATTTAGAATTTTCTTTATTTTTCCTTCTGAAATAGTTTTGTTTGTTTGCATCTACTAAATAAGGAGCAAGATGACAGGTTGGCACTCCTAACAGCTGTTTTTGCTAACAAGAATAAGAGGTACATATGCTACAGCTCAGTATCTCTCTGAACATCAAAGCACTTTTCTTAGGAACTGAACAAACTTGCTAAAGACGTGGAGAGGTGATGAGGAGACAAATGTAGAAGAATGACATTTAGCCTATAACCCAGCTGCCCCCACAGTGGCAGCCTGGACTTCTTCCATGCACACAGAGCTATCAAGGTGATGATCAGAGGTGATCATCACTCCCATTAATTGTGGATAAGACAGGATTTGGCCTTCCAAAACTGGGGGAAAATCGTAGCAGGGAGTATGGACTGTTCCCTTGCTGAAGCAGGATGTTTCCCAGTGTTGTGTCCAGCTGACTTATGAAGTAACAAAATTAGTGAGGTTTGCACAATTTGGAAAGTATCTCTCAATCCCAGCATGCTTTGTGTGGCAGAAATTAATACCTCAACTTTCAGTTTCCCTTTCAAAGCTTTGCTACTGTCATTCATATTCTTTAGTGGTGTTTTTTTGACTGAATATTTGTTTTTAAAATATGTTTGGCCCTATGGGGTCAGTATAGCAAGTCAGAAGGGATGTGGTGGACTGAATGACTTTGAGGTAACACTGCCATGCTCACAGACATCAGTGCAGTCTCAGAGAACACTTGAGGTGTTCCTCAGTTTATCAATAGGGAAAAAACAGACAAGGCAGCATGCCCACTAAGAGCAAGGTGAAAGCTGTTTTCGGGAAGTGACATCCCTATGCAGGAAAGCAGCATTTCCCAGTCCAGCCCCATCCTCCTGCATGTGGAATAGCCCCATGCCTGAGTGGAGCAGGCTGCTCTCACTCTCACTGGCTGGCATTCTACCCAGGGAGGTCACAAAGGGCTGCTGTGTCAACAAAGGACCAAATGCTGTCGGTGCAGCTTGATGAGAAGCAAAAAGGAGGGGATGGCATGATCCACTTCGAACTTGGGGTACATTTGTCTGTTTTCTTTAGGCTCCCAGCTTGAGACGTGGCAGAAATCACAGATAGACATACCCCAGTTTCTTAGACCCACACGAGTGCACAGTCCTTGAGCTGATCCATAGATAGCTGATGGGAAGGCATGTTTGTATTCCCCAGTGGTGTAACTGGAGGAACATTAACCTGGTCCTTCTAAACAGCTGAGGAGGCATCTGGCAGGATCTGAGAATAGCTGGGGCTGGGTCAGCACTGAGAAAAGGCCTTCCTGTCTTCCTTCAAGAAGTTATTTCACTCTTCAGAGTGTGTTTTCTTCCAACATGCCATTCGTGGATAGGCTGTTGTGTTTTATCGCTATGAATGCCATTTTCCCACACCCAAGATGCTAACACATCTTTATAAAGCGCCTAGCCAGACATGGGTTGAGCCTGGGAAGCAGGATGATTTCCAGAGTAAATGAGATTCAGAAATTAAATACAAACATAACTTCCATCTGATCATCTTTCAGCTCCAGCTCTGCCTGGTTAACACTATTAAAAGACATTTCCACTGAAAGAAATATGCTGTGCCACCTTTTCACACCTCCTGAACTAAGGAATGTGGGTTTAGTTTAAGCACAAGTTGTAGAAAAACAGTTTATTTTAGTCCTCTGAGACTCCTGTGCCTGCAGGTTGGATGGCTGTTGAAAGCAGAGGCTGGGGCTGATGTGATCTTTAACTAATCTGCCCATGGTTTCCTTGACACTTGCCCTGTGGACACAGCTGATGTTTAGCTGCCAGCCAGGCAGCCCTGGTGCTCCCTGCCAGGATGTGATCCTGCAGGCTGCTGGCTTTGCAGCAACATCGGAAGCACACGGGCTCCAGACAAGCAAGTTCAATGTGTGAGTCCAGCTGGATCAATAATTAATTCCCTCCTCTTTAGCAGAAAATAGATGCTCACTTTGTCAGCACATACATGCTTTTTCACATCCCTCTTGACCTTCCTCTCCTTAGAATGGATGTGGGTAATTCCTATCTGTACAAAAACTGGTCCCAAGTAGGCTACAGGCCCTAGGAGAATTACCTATTTTTGTTTGCAACTCATTTTGAGTACAGCAGGATTGCTGTGCGGAAGCAGACCTGGGGATAATCATCCCTGGTATCCCATTTCGTGGAGTAGCCGGTGCTGTATGTACCTCAGCAAAGGCTAAAACCCATCCTAGCATGGCTCTGTACTTCCCTGGGATGTATAGGATTATGTATTCGTACAACTACACCTGTTGTACACCTTCACGTGTTGGGGATGCATCGTGGTGAATGAGACCACATGCTGTTTGATGATGTTGGCTGGTTGCAGGATCTCTGACCCTGCACACTGAGCTGACCACCTGGCTCATCAGCAGTGAAGCCCTGGGGGAGGTAAATCAGCACAGAGGCAACAGTAAAACCTGGATGCTCCTATGCTGTGCTGTGCCCACCTTGTGCGATGTGCCTGTCCAGAGGAACTGTCGGAATGAACGCGTGTGTGGCAGAGGGGTACCCCTCGAGTCAGTGCTCCCAGCTGGAAATGAAGGCTGCCTTTAGAGCCCCAGCAGTCTCTTTTCTGTGACCAAGGGACCAGCTGGCCACAGCAGTGGGCTGAAGGAGCTCTGTGGGGGTGGCCAGGACAGTGGGATGTGGCAGGCCAGGGCTGGCTCCCACTCGAGCTACTCTAGAGGTTTGGGGTGTGGGCAGCACATGGTGAGGGACAACATCATGCTTGTTGGGGTGCTGCCTGGAATTCCAATAGAACTTCTGGCAGCCTTCCTGGAAGAGATGCACTTGTGGGCACAAGCAACCTGCTGCAAATGGTTCCCAGGACTGTGTGCATGTCCCTACACTGTGCAGGTGGTGGCACAGAGGCAGGACATGGCTGAGGGAACAGGGAGGACAGAGGTGCCCAGCTTGATGTCATGCTTGTCTTTGCTTGTCTTAAGGCTTGTGAATCCTACCTATTTAAATATTTGTTAATGATGTTCTTGGGGACACAAATAATTATTTGAGGATCATAATGGTTTTGTAATATTGTTTTTTTGCAGGTCCTTGAGGTCCATGAAAATTTGGACAGGCAAATGCAAGACAACTATGAAGAAGACCTAAGTGAAAAGGAGAAGGCGATTGTTCGTGAAATGTGCAATGTAAGAACTCCTCCCAGCAACTCCTGGGGTTCTTTTAGTCTTTTTGTGGCCTTTTGTCAGAAGTATGGAGGAACAGGGATCTGCTGCATTGTAAGCCTTGTGAGGTCTATAGGCACAAGGGAGGAGTGGAGGCTCTGCTGACCACTGTTTTGGGTGATCTGAGTGCCCTGTTCACTGCACAGAGCAGATTTTGCTCTGTAGATAGTTCCCACTTGGAACCTTCCTGGCTGTGGAATAGCTTGTCTAGCTGACCAGAGATGTGCAAGGGGTTCTCCCTGACTAGGAGGGTCCTGTTAGCAATTGTCTCCACCTGTGACCTTAAGGACTCAGTTTGGGCTAAGCAACAATTGCTTGCCAGGTTTAAAGCTGTACAGCTTGAATGGATTTGAGCCTAAACCACATGGTAATGTCAGAGGGAGAACCTTGTCTGGAGTCATTGAACAGCATCATGATATGTGGGGTGCTGTTAACACTGCTGACGTTTTGGGCAACCACACTGGTAACTGAGCTGGCCACATCCTGTAGGGTGAGCGCTGTGCCCAGCTGCACCCAGCCTCTGCTCTGTGGTGTCTGCTGTCACAGCATTGCCTCCAGCTTCAAAGCACCTTGGACATGCTCTGGCTTGGAACAAAGAGTTTGAGATTTCTGCTGGAACACAGCCTGAGCTGCCTGTCACCTGCATTTGGGGATGTGCTGTTCAACTGCCCAGAGTAGCGAGGAGGATGCTTATGAGCCCTCTTTTTTTGAAGTTCACATAAGAGGTTGGCCCAGGTATCATTTAGTGCCTTGAAGCAGTTAAGAAGGGCCTAACGCTCTGTTTAAATTCTGAAACCCACCCTAGCCCTAAAAAGAGGCAGATTGCTGACCTAAATCACTGTGAGCATCCTTAGTAAGGGCAGAGACACTTCACTTTGGTTGCTGGATCCCTATAAGCAAAGCCAAGACCAGAGTAAATGAAGGCCTGCTTTTTAGAATATTTTGCCTGCCTAATTTCCCAGTCCCTTATAGCTGTGCTGGAGGAAAGGTAAAAATACTGTAACTTCATCCTCCCAAAGTGACTAATCTCTATTTGTCTATCATCAGCTGTTTTCTCTTTAAATATTCATTTCATGTAGATTCAAGGCAGCTATAAAGATTTTTGCAGTTTATTTTTTATTTAAATAGTGGCCCTAGAGTGATAAAATGTTTGTTTTTAGAAAGTCATGTATATATAATTTTAATCATTATCTTTTTCATTATCTTTTCTGTTCATGGTAGCATCTTTTCTGTAAGCATGGCAGGGTTGACCTACCATTGAACTTATGTTCTGAATCTAGTGTATTTGTTTTATACTATTACCCCAGGCAAAAACGGTTCTAATTTCAAGAGGGACTAATTAGAAAAATGCATTGATGTTTTTTTCCCTTGGAAACTGGTGCAAAGATGCCATCCAGTGTCCCTGCTGAGAACTGCAGCCCAGCTCTAGGAAAGGGCTGGTTTTGGCTTTCAGACTGCAATTTAAAAAATATTGCTATTCCTCAGTGGCTTTGTTGTTTGGACTTTTTTATTAAAAAAAAATAAAAAAAAATCCTGTCTTTCTCTCCCCAAACCCTTTATTTTTTCTTGCAGGTTGTCTGGCGAAAGCTGGGTGATGCTGCGAGCTCCAAACCCTCCATCAGGCAACATCTGTCAGGAAACCAGTTCAAGGGCCCCTTGTAGGAACACATTCCTGGCAACTGGAAGTGATGGATTCTGTGAAGACTGAAGAGGCAGAGCTCAGTATTTCTGGCTGCCTGTTCTTTGGGAGTTGGGGTTGAGTTTTTTCAGGATTTCCTTTTTTCTTTTCTTTTTTTTTTTTTAAACTTTTTTTTTGTAACAATAGTGTAAATATGGCAGCTAAAGGCCTGATTTCCAGGCTGTGGTGCTCTGGAGCTACTGTTCACTGGGTAACCATCCAAAAATACCAGACTTGCATCATTTTTATTGTAGTTCAAACCTGCTTTGTTGTAATGGTCTGTTTGTAGAATTAACTAACTCAAGAGAATTTCTAAGAGGAACAAGAAGAACCCTTAACCTGCGAAGAATTCACCGTTTGTATTGCTCCTGTCCACCTGCTTCTCAGTGATTCATAGCTGGGTTAGTAGCTCCAGGCAGCCAAGGAAAATACAATTCAAATTCATTGGCTCACTGCCTGCCAAGTTTATGAGCTGCTAACACTTTTTTGGAGGTCCTTATTTTGAAGAATGACATGCAACTGTTTTCACAAGGCTCTGTGTAAAATACTGAGTGGCAAGCTAAAAACACTTGTACTGCCCTACTTTGTATGGTGGTACTCATCACACAAGTGTACATAAAGGCTTAAGACTCTGTATCAGGTGTTAATGAACAATTTTTCGTGATCAAATGACACAAGATTTCTGCAGTCGTAATGTGATTGAAGTCACTTAGCCACACAACGTTATTCCCTACAAAATGGCAACACTTTTCTTGTAAAGTTTTCACTATGAAATAATTCAGCAGAAACTACTATCCTGACAGCGCTTATGGCTTTCACAGGATCCTCAAAAGCAGCTCATCTTTCACATAAGGAAGATTTGGGTGGGTTTTTTTAGTGTTCTTGCTGGACTCCTCACCTATATTGGTTCCTGTGTAAGGTAACCAAACAACAACCTCACAGAGCTGAATAAAAACTTCATAAACATGGGCTGTCAGGTGAGACTACTTCCTGCCATTCGAGCTTTATTTTTGTTAATGAACCAAAACAAGTGGGTTTTTCCTTCTTCAAATGGTTGTATATAAAACAGTGGGACTTACATTTTGCTATTGTGGAGTAGCTGCCTGTGTAGTTGTAAGAATTTGACTCCCTCCTTTTCCAAGTTGTCACAGCAGCTGTCCCTGTATTTCGTTAGATGTTCTTTCCCAATAGTCCAAGGAGGTGGGGCTTTGTTATTAGAACTCATTGGTGTAAAATAATTTTAAAGACAGGCATGTGAAAAGATCAAAGCCTCCTCTTCAAAAGTTGCATCGATTTTAGTGATTAGTTGGAGGATGTAATGACCTCAAACACTTTCTTTTTGTTCTCTACAAGAACCAGTCACAGCTACAGACAGCTGTATTAGCTGGACAGGTTCTTCCTCTAAATTAATTTGTTCTACCAGTTGAGTTCTTGACTTGTGGTATTGTATTACATGGAGCACCAATAAAATACTAAGGAACCCATGTGGCAATTTATGAAAGGTAATTGTTCCCGTGGTGTACAATAAACTATAGCTGCCTGGCTGAAGAATTCGCAGTGTCAGAGCTGAAACCTGTAACCACTAAAAGAGTAGAGAAGGAATACAGCCAAAATACACAGTAACCAGTAAGAATAAGCACCACTTAATCATTCATTGTGGAAACAGAAATGTAACAGTTGAGTAGGTTATTTAAAAATAACCAAGAACCACCCCCAAAACACAAGTGCATACTCTCACACACCCACCAGTAATTCTTTCTTACTACTGCTCAGTCAGTGAACACTGAGCTAGATAGCTCTCAGTCTAATAGTATTTACATCCCATGCAGTCTGGAAAATTCCATTCTAGAGTCTGACTGTCTCCTTTAAGTATCTTTAGAGGATTCTGGATTTCCTCCTCTTTGCTTTTTATTTTGACCTCCAGTTTCTAGTTGCCATTGGTGATTACTTGTCTTCCTCCTGTACAATTTATACATTGAGATTTCTGTACCAGAAAAGGTGATGCAAAGCAAAGCATCATTATTCCTTAACATCTAAGGTCAAACTGTGGGTTACTTTAATCTATCTGCTTGAAAGCCTGTTTTAACTTTGGTGGCATCTGATTGCTGGATTAAGCGGAGAGTTCAAGTGTATTTGGAACAAGGTTGATTTATGTCAGTGAATTTTATCTAAAGAACACAAATGTTGCCAGCACTTAAGAGAGTTAACTGTGTTCATGACACCCTTGCTATTTAAGGGGTATATGAGGCTATTAGCAGGTCCTCTCAACAAGACAAGAGCTATACTCATCAGGTTAGTCTCACCACTATGTAATTCCCACTCAAATATTCCCTGTTCTCAAATCTCTCTCAAAATCTGCTTAATGACTTCAAGCAAAGCTTGTTTTGTTGCACCTGCAGATCTCACCTACAAGGGAATCAGTGCTGCAATTGAGGTCAATTAGCCCTGCAAATCCTGAAGAGCCAGTTTGTAGGGTAGCCAGCAGTTCAGCTGAACAAACTTCATACTCGTAGGGTATTGCCCTTTTTAAAATTTTATTTATCATCTTCAATATAAGATGTGTGTCACTGATTTTGCAGAAGAACACGACACTGCTGTACCTTGGGGTGTTACTGTTTAGGGGTTTTTAGGCTTGCCAGTCTTCATACTTAGCTCCATTTGAGCTATAAAATGTCTTCCTGGGGTAAAATGATGCTCAATGACTTTACAGGATGACTTGGGTGCTGAATTTTCAGCTAAATAGATATTTTATATAAATATTTAAATTCACTTACCTATGCGCTCAGTATTCCATGAAAACTACCTGAGGAGCTTTGTACATTAAGTTGGAGGGGAGCACCCTTTGAAATAGTGGCCATTAAATTCATAGATTTGGGGCAATAGCCCAAGATAATTTCCTCAACATTGAAGCCCTGGGTTCTGCAATCCTCTGGCAAAGAAAGCATCCACTGTTTACAAATGGACTTTGCTTGCTTAAGGAAAGTAAAATCACATCCTTGACTTTTGTTGGAGTGACTGGAGTAAGCAGCATTTCCCTAAGTTCCTGAAATGCTGCAGTGTAACCAGCTTCTGTTAGCTCTTCGCACCTTGATAAGACTGCTGAGCACAACCTTGTTTGAGAATGGCACATTTTTATCCAAATATTAGATATTAAATGAAATCAGTGTTAAAGTGACCTTTTATCTTTCTAGAAACTGGGGGGGGAAGAATACTACTGATCTTTTTCAAAGTGCATGACTGTAAAGTGATAAAATTGTATATTTTTCATAATGTGGGGAAAGTCTATTTGTGCTGCTTTAGAAATCAGTTTAAAGTTTGATTTCTGTTAAACCTGTGATCTTATAGCCCTGCTATATTTTCTGTATATGATTTACAAAGAACTGGAAAAGTTAGCACCTGCTGTTGTGTATATAGCAAAATTCTTTAGACCTTAGCACGCGTTTTTACCTATTATTGAACCACTCTGGCTTTTTTGGGGAAGGAAAGTAATAGTACAGTTTTTTTTGATAATGTGTGTAAAACATTCATTTGAAATATTTTAGTAAAAATGAAGTAAGAGATTGATTGTGATAGTGTATACTTCTAGCTGAATAAAATAAAATACATTCTTTTTAAATAAACTGATGAGTAAGATTTGGGAGACCACTGCTGAAATACTTTGGAGTAAGTATCTTGGAGTAACGACAGTTATGACCTCTGAACTAAGATGAAAAACCTGGAAATCCACTAAATTTGGAACCAATTTTATTTGGGTAGAGTGAACAAAGTAGTCCCATTTATAACTATGATGTACATCACAGTAGGCTGTTACATTCAGACTTTCACACTTAGAAAATATATATATTATGTACAGGAATTTGCAAATAGGTGTAAACATACAATATTTTAAGATACCAGTACATTCCAAACCAAAACTATCAGCAAGGCAAACACCTCAAAATTATTCCAGTCAGCTAGCACTCAGAATCTCTCTTAAATAAAGCAGCTTTTATGCTTGACATCGTGTTGTTTTACTTACTATTAAAAATGACGTTTCTTATTATAGATCAAATATCATAGTATCTGGCTATTTTGATACTTAAAAATAGGCACTGATTTCTAGAAGGAAATTTTCTTCTTACTGATATAATTGAGCCAATATGGCTGGTTTTGCTAGTACAAAGTAATCCAGTGCTGGAATAAGTCAAGACAATTTAAACTTAAGTCAAATGTATAAAGTTAGAATAGATACTGCAAAGCTGATTAAAATCTAGAAGCCTATATAACTCACCATAAACCATACTGCAAACAGATCAGCTAAATTTTCATTTACTTTCATTTCTTCCTCTAAATTATACAGATTACCCTCCTCTTCATCTTTACAATGTAGGTTTTGGCTATCTACTCCTGCCTAATCAACATAAAGGTATATCGTGCAAATGACCTCATGCTATCTCATCCATGTAGCACGTCCAAGTCCTGCTACAGGTGGCATACCAGGTGGTGGAATTGGAGGTGGTACAGGTGGCTGTCCACCTGGGGGAACAGTAGGAGGGGGATAACTAGCTGGTGGCATTCCCAGCCCTGGAGGTGGATGAGGTGGTACTGCATGAGTTGGAGGCAGTCTTGGAGGTGGGAAATTAGGGTTGTATGTGGGTGGAGGAGGATATCCAGGAGTAGGAGGTGGAATATTGGGTGGGGGGAAAGAAGCAGGGGGTGGAGGTGGAACTGGTGGTGGAGGGTTGGGAGGGTAGACATGAGGATGATATGGTAGATGAGCTGGTGGTCCATAGGCCGGTGGTAAAGCTCCATATGTTGGTCCTTCTGTTTTCATCATTGACTGCAGACTTTGATAGCCCTCCCCCGACATGTAAGAATTTGTAGTAGACATCCCTGTAATATAACTGGTGGGAGGTGGGGGTGGGGGACGATGTGGCAGAGGTGGAGGTTGATGTACTGGGGCAGGATGAGCAGGGGGAGGGATCTGGACCTTTGGCATATCTACTGAGTCCACAGTAGTAGATTGCTCTGGTTCTCCCATTGAAACTGCTGTTGTCAAAGGAGGCTTGCGCTCTGGAAAAGAAGATTTTTTTTTTTTGAAGGATAGTGGCAAGAACAGCTTCTGAATACTTTATATTTTTCCTTCAGTTAAATTAGCAAAAGTGAACTCAATTCTCTAAGTCTCTGAATGCCATATGGTATCCAGTCAGACCTTCTAAGGTCACTAAAAACCAACTAAGCTGCCTATCAAAGCTTCAAGGCCAGCTTTTCCCATTCTAAAAGTTAAATTCATTTTTCTTACTACTATTTTTTATGTTGTTGTACTATTTAAATATTATTGTACAATCAGCAGAAATAAGAGACTGGATGGATGGAATCACAACTAGTGGATTGAAAAAGTCAAAGGATTCACAATACCAAAAATCTTTAGTTCAGTGCTTCCACCTTCTTTAGTCCAGGCCTCCTTTCTACCTCTTTGGTAGTCCAGGAGGTGGGCTAGGATTACCCTCTGCACTTCACCTGCCTCCCATATTTGGAAACATTACTTGAGAACACAGGTCAAATCTCAAGTCTTTAACACTCAGTTCTAAAACTGTTTACCAAAGAAAGAGAAAAAGAAAACCAAAGGGTAAGTAAGAAGGACATGAAATCTGATCAGCTTTGTCCCACTGATTAATTTCAGTAAACTCAGTACCTGACATACTGGAGAAGTTAGTAAAAAGGTCAGCATTTTACAAAATTATACTTAACCACTTCTGAAAATAACATGCTTTAAGCTGCCCTCTCTCTAAATAAGAATCATTTGCTTTCCCCTCTTAATGCAGAAATTATAAAGTAAGTAATACCACTAGGATGACAAACCTAATAGCAACCTCTCTGTATGGTAAGAAAGATTACTAAAACAACCAACAAAAAAGAGTTTGGGACATCTTGACATTCATCTTACTTGTATATATAAACATCTACAACATCATTCAGTAAGAAAAGCTATTTAGAAACATACAAGGCAGTCATTTCTAGTGGCATACTACACTGTCACTGTTAAACAGAATTTGAGATAAATCCTCCTCCTAGTTCACTTGGCCAAGATGCATTCTTGGTTTTCACCTGATTTTTCCACAGAGATGCCCTTTATTTTGATAATGTTTGTACAATTACATCCTTCTATAAACAAAGAGGAAAATTTCCATTAACAAGGGAAATAAATCCATTACCTGCCTAAATAGGATTTTAACAGTGAAATTTCCCCCTAGGAAAGCCACATAATTAAATCACGGAAGGTGGGTATGCTGGCTGTGGTACTCATGATTTCAGTGACTTCTAGCTCCTAAATTCTAGCAGGCAATAATTTCCTCATCTGCTCATTTTCAGAACCATTCTGGATGCAAGATATGCATTCAAGATTTAACAACTGAAGGAATAATGAGTATGGTATTTAGAAAAATTAATTCTTCATTAGATTTTAACAAATGAGAAAAATTGTCCTACTATATTTCAGGGGACTGCTTTTCTCTCTTCTAGCTCCCTGTTAGAAGCTGTCATCTTACAGTTATACCATGGACCATGGTCTGTGAAATATTTATGTCATATTTAAGGGTCACTAGAAGACAGCTGATGCATCAAAGTGATGGAAGCACACTTTTACAACAGTACAGTTTATTTTGCAAACATATGGTATGTGTGCAGTATTAATGCTCTCTTGCAGAAAAAAAAGTCCTCTTTTGAAGTACAGCAAAGAAAGTATCCCCTTTATTGTTTGGCAGTTCCACACCTGCAGAATTCCTGTATGACAGATATAACATGGAAAATTTCTACAGGACAGCTGAATGCTGCTCCAGTAATCTAATATGGCCTCTACTAGCCTTTTGAAATCAAGAAGACCCTTTTAGCCTGCTATCAACAATTAGTTTTAGTCTTTTAGGCCTTTAACTGTTGCAGCTTTGTTCTGTCTTTATCTACCTAGTACAGGCTTGTTTCCATCGTAAGTTTTTTACTTCTGTCTGGAAAAGCCTGTGCTACAACGATGAAATTCCCTCTAGAGCTCATCAACCTTGTATTTTTACTTGCCAAGCTGATTAGCAAGGCAACAATCCCCTGCTCCCACAGCATTACCTACCATTACTTGAATGAAAAGCAAGTTAGTTAACAAGAAGAATAAATGCAATTAAGAAAATAAATGCTTACACTATGCAAAAGTACAGTGGAAATCCTATTAACTAAGTATGTTTAATAAAGAAAACTAAAATCAACACCTTTGTGTAAAAAAACTGGCATCAAGTATCACATACAAGTCTTCCAAAAGAACGTATGCCTGCGAGTTCAAATGACTTTGTAACTAGAGAGAAACTGTCCCAATAGTAGTATGTAAGTGAAGATGAGCAAGTTGTATATTTTCTAGCCCAAAACTTTAACTTGTAAATAGTTGGAATAACTCTCAGAAGAGGCTGACCTATGCTCTGCTAGGGAAATGTGTCAGAAACCAAACAAAATAGCAATTGGACAAGAGAGAGGAGGGAGAAAGAGACAGCTGTCTGGAATCTATCTGCACAGCTACAGGGGACTAAGTGCCAGACTTCCTTAGGAAGTACATCCTAGTATCCTGAACTACTTTGTTCCAAAACAGCAAAATGAAGAGAAAGCCCCAAATAAACAAAAGAACCAGGAATGATCACTGCAGTGACTGTGCATTTCTTTCACTACACTAGCTATTGACACTAACTGCCTTTTAGTGGCAGCCATGCCAACAAGCAATTACAAACATCACTGATTACCAACCACTTAGTGCTAGCGCAGCTATTTAATGACGAGGTACCTTCAGCCACTTCAAGGCCTCACAGCCTGCTGAGGAACTACTCCCATATGATGCATTGGGAGTTGACTAGTTTAGCAAGACTTCTACTGAATAGATTCTATTAAGGGATGCTTGTGGAAGTTATACTCAATTTAAAGTTTTGCAGTTAGGAACATTTTAAAAACAGTTATAGTATATATTCAAGATACATTATCAGGATCAAGATAGTTTAGAACTGACAAGCCTGTAAGCAAACAAGCTAAGTGCATGTCAGCAAATTACTTATTCTAGTTTAAGCAGTAAAATGGAAGCAACATGAACAGAATATTAATATTTACCTGCTGCCTTTGTTTCTTCTTTTGGAGATACAGCCTGTTTGAAAAAATGAAAAAAAACAAAGATAAAAATAAGACCATTGCATTCAATCTCTTCTCCCAGGTAACAAGTGACAGGACATGAAGAATCAGCCTCAAGTTGTACCAAGGGAGGTTTAGGTTGGATATGAGGTAAAATTTCTTCATGGAAAGGGTGGTCAGGCATTGGAACAGGCTGCCTATGGAAGTGGTTCAATCACCATCCCTTGCACGTATTCAAGGGATGTGTAGATGTGGCACTTGGGGACATGGTTTAGTGGTGGACTTGACAGTGCTGCATTAAAGATTGGAGCTGATGATCTTAAAGATCTTTTCCAACCTAAATGCTTCTATAGTTTCTTATGCTAAGTGCAAGACAAACACTGTCAACAACGCAGACAAACAAAGTCAAATCACACTGGGGAAGCCCAGCTTAACTAGCAGAATGAAAAGACTGGAAAAAATAACAGGTATTTTATATGCAGCATTTCCTGCTGTTCCCACTGTTGAGTGTTACATTTCATTTAATATATTTATCATCCACTGCACATACGTCATGGTCTGGTTCACTGCTCACTGAGCTGAAAACAAGAGGCTTGGCCTCTGTTCCCAATTCTGCTTTGACCTGTCACTCAACCTTTGCCAAAATCACTTCAGGCTCTTACGCTTTATTTACCAAGACAGGAGGGCAGTGAAAGTGTTGCACAGCATAAGACATTTCAGAAGCCTTCAGATGGAAAGCATTGTATAAAATCCAAATGTTATGCCAGGAAAAAAATGTATGCACACTGAACAAAACCCACAAACCCCCACATCATCCTTCCAATCAATAGTTTTTGGTTGGATCTTTTCTTCTTTTGTTGGTTGTTTTGTTGTAGTTTTTTAAACAGCTATGGATAAGGGAATAAAAAAATCTTCCCAGATTACATGGTCCCACTGAGGTGACTACTTGATGGTTTCTAAGAAAAGCAGAGAACTTAATTGATATTTTAAGTACAACTATATTTAGAAAGAATGATGAAGGTCAGAGGGGTACAGTACATAGCTTCTTTGTCTTTTCAATGAAAATGGTTTTTTAAGAGACTGTTTATCTCTAGTAGCTTTACTTGCATATACTGTTCCTCTATTTCCTTCACTTTCCACAGCAAGAATGGACACACACTTCAATCCAACTTGAACAGCATTTTTCCTTAATTCTGATGGGTATTCTCAAAATTTTTTCTGTCTTAATTTTTGCCTTCTTGAGACAACCTCATTCTTATATTCCTTTGATAATAATTTCAATTTTCCAGAAACCTTCCAGATGCTTTCCTACTTTTTAAGGACAATCTTTATCTTACCATTTCAAACACACATACTTCTTTCTTAGTGATTCTCATGGACTCATCTTCTGCCTTCATTTTACTTGGATGGTCTTTTCTTGACTTTCTAGCACTAAAATCCATGCCTGTAAAACTGCATCAGCTCTCCCTACACTTTCAAATAAAAGCAAATCACTACTTGTTGGATCTTTTCCAAAAATCACTCCTTTTGGGAAATCAGTTGATCACTTCAGGTGACAAGCAATTAATTTACTGTGCATTTGTTAATATGGAGCAATATTCAAAAAACAACATCAAGGTACACTATTATAGTGGAACAGGAAACTGGAGCAAAATAACTCATGATAGAAAAAAAAACAAACATCAATTTAAACTGCATTTATGCTAAAGGAAAAAAAAAAGGATCAAGCAACAACAATTCTCTAATAATGGCATCTGTTAAAATAGAGATAGATGAGATTTATTTGGTCATTCTACTGCACTGTAGTTTGTACTGCCCCAGCCAGAACACCCAAGGGTCATAATAAATAATAATAAATTATCAACATTAGGTACTGTCATGCTGATGGGTATTTAATACCTTCAGCTGAATCTATACAATGGAACTGTTCCTTTACTGCTGTTTCTATGAGGAATACAATTGTCCCCCATAACAAATTCTAGTTTAATCCAAATAAAAATACTATTTACATCTAATGATTCACAAGTATATTTTTAGTGAAATCAACTGAAAAATTGAGCACTCTTCATCACTAGAGATGTAGAGGATGTGCAGATGCTTTAGACATCTGATATGGACTGTAAATCATGGGCCAATGCCTCAGCTGCTTGAAAGCATCCTGGTTCAGTAGAAGGTAATGGGAGTTATAAGAGTTCATGTAAATTGAAAATCTAGCCTCCAGGAACAAAGTGTATTTCTGTTCTGCACAAACTAAAGAAGTCATGCAAAGCCCTATTTATAGAAGCAGACAAAAATTTTAAGTAAGGTTTATGGTGTATGTAACTCAAGAACATTTTAGAAGCACCTAGTAAAGCCTACAAAGACTACACATCTTGTTCTCCCAGGCCACTTGTTATCCCAGGATAAAGAACAAATTTGGATCACTACATCTACTTTTCTTAAATTCATGCTGCTTGTGCTGTATTCCTACAAAACTCCATTGAGACACCCTTTGCTTTTTATTTGTTGTGGCTGCTTACGGTGTATCTACTATTTTTTTCCTTGATGATTAGGTGATGGACCTCAAACTAATTTCAGGAAAAGGTAAGTTTCACTTATGGGTTGACCAGAAGCGACTATTCAAGAACAACAGATACTGTTCATTCAAAAGCATCACCTTTTTGCATGAGATACTTCATTAAGTTATGGGATAGGGCAAAATCAGTAGTACTGTAATGGTAGATCTTTTACGGGAATGAACAAGCATTCATAAAAACTTAGATGGCACACATAGGAAAATACAAAATTGTTAGTAACAGTTTCTGATGTGCCAAACTGTCCCAAGCATTATTATTGTTGAAGAAAAATAGTAAGAGATCCTACAGGTCAGACAACTCAAGCAGAATTTGTGCAGATGGTATAAAAAGTATGAGAAGAAATACATAATACCTATAAAGAACTCTCATACTTTTCAAGTTAATTAATAACTTTATCTTCTTACTATCCTGAACAATGCTAAAGTTCAGTGCAACAACTAAAAATTTCAGTGCAGGTCTTCTCCTCTAGTAAGCTCTATCCAGCACTTACAAGACCAAGATTTTACAGAGTTATATTTTTGTCTGTCTGTTTTGGGAGTCTGCCATCAGGAAGATGCTGCACTCTTCCAATTCCATTTTATTCCAATATTTGCTGCTTACTTCTAGTTTTTGGTTTGGTTCTTTTAGTTTGTTGTTTTTCTAATTTGGGAATGTATTCATTACAAGTTAGAGAAAAAGTTTGAAGAAAATTTACATTCTGAATGGACTTGTTCCAAAGACTGTACTTCTGAAAACACTCCTCTTGCTAAGTACACATGAAAGAAGACTTGCATAACACTTTTTTTTTCCTAACTTACCAGTGAAAAAAAAAATAACGAAAGTATAGATTAAAATCTGAAATCTTCATTTGAACTTGATGGCTGTTGAAAAGTGCTCAGGGTACTTGTGACACTATGCTAATATAGCTTCTTATTTTCAATTGTGATGTGATATTATGGACAAAGTGAAGCTATAAAATATGATGATTTATAGGCTGCTACCATTAAAGGATTATTTTAAAAGACTTTTTTAAAAATAATTTTGACATAACTTTAGAAGTCACTATTCTCTTAATATTATTAGTAATCAAAGAGTCAAATAAAGTCTTCATCAGCATTGTGCACATCTCCACATTCAGGTACAGCACAAGAAAACCTCCCTGAATTAAACCTGCTTAACAGAGAAAACAATGAAGTTTGATAGCCCAGAACCACAAACACTGAGAACCTGAACAGCTCTTGGCTTAGAAGTCTCTCCATGGCTTTTGGCTCAAGTGGAATAAGAATGTCATATGTCAGAACTGTTAAGGCTGTTCTGCATTAGCAAAGTTGCCACACAACCAAGGAAAATCAACTACATTAAATTAATGACAAGGCTCATTTTTAAAGCAAACACAAGTCTGTTGCACATTGTGGCCTTTAAATCTAATGGGCATCAGATCAGCCTGAAAATAAATTGCAAGTTAAAGTTCAACTTACTGCTGGTCTCTTAATCTGTCTAGGAGGACTTGACTGGGGAGAGGGTTTTTTGGATTGCTGTGCTTGTGTTTGCTGCTGCTGCTGCTGTTGCTGCGCTGACTGCTGAGACTCTTTTTGCTGCTGTGTCTGGGATTGCTCTGAACTCTGGGATTGCTGTGACTGCTGTACTGTAGGTGCCTGGGGTGTAGACTGAAGAGATGGTGGCTGCTGCAACTGATGAGGAGTATGATGAGGCATTTGCTGTTTTCCCTGTGAGTATAGATCCAGGATCTGATGACAGATATCTTAATAATAAAGAAAGAAAATTCCAAAGTATTACAACCTTATAATGTACAAGTGTATATTTAACACAATTATCAACTCTGATTTTTACTGGACCTCAACTTTGGAAAAACTGACTGCAAATCTTACTCATCATTATAATGAATAAAATAACTTTTTAAAAGAAGATTAATTTTCAACTTATACTTCCATTTCTGGAAGTTTCTTCTGCCTATCCTGAGCAATATATACAGGTACATGCACACCATTCAGAAGAACACAGTGTCTTGGTAATAATGCACTTTATGTCATTACTGTGTGACTGGAGAGCCAGGTAACCATGCTCACAGGACAGTAATACAGCAAGAAAGCAAGTGGAAGAAGATTATGTTAAAACATACATGTCTGTTAGGCCAGTCAAAAAAGTTTTACGAAATTAAGCAAAAGACTAGTACTAAATTCTTCTTCCAATAAGTTAGTAGCTAAAGGTCCCTGTAATCTGTTTATCGTTCATGGTACACCATAAAAAAACCTCTAACCAGCACAATTTGGTCAAAGAAATCAATTATCAATGGGAAAACCACTTGAAATCATGCTCTGTTAATTCCAGTGTTTATAGAACCACTTATTTAAAATGGGGAGTAGATAATCATTAAAAAAATAGAAAACACAGCATGACAGTTCTGGCTAATGAGATGTGTTATAAACTAAACGAATTGTAAAACAAACATTGAACAAAAGATTAATCATGATGATAAATATACTTCTAAGCTAAACCAGTTCAATTTAAAACCAGATTAAGGCATAGCACATGTGACCTGAGTTACATACTTGACATGAGATTATTTTGACTGAAACCTAGATAAAAAGCTATTTGTATTTAATCACAACCTAGGCCACACAGTTAAATACTGTGGGAAACGGTTTTCATACCTTCCAAAACATCAACAGGAACATCTTGGACAAACTGCTCCCACCATCGTCTGTACATAGGTTTTGATGTCCATTCCTGTATTTCGAACTTACACAAACGACCTGCTAAGTACATAACTGCAACAGCTATGATCTCAGGCTCCCACTGCAGGGACAGTGTAGTGCAGAGACTGCAACAGAAAATAAACCAAAACAAAACACAACCCTGGAGATTGCCTGATTGTCCAAGTGCAATTTCATGTACAGCAGCTATAATTAACAGGGCATAAAATCCCACCACAATTCTAACTTCTCAGGCAATTTTAATGAAGAGCCTTGTTAAACAACAGAGTTTACAAAACTAAACTATTCTGGACTACCACTGTCATGAAATAAGTCCCAAATCAGATTTTAGAGCTTCCAAATGTTTGTCAGTAAAATATAAACAAATATTAAAAAAACCCAAAACCCCACAGAGCAGCCAACATGAATTTATAAAGCAACTTGTCAAGCGCAACTCAAGTTTTGAATCAACATATCAAAGGTTATCTCTTGAAAAGCCTTTGTTAAAGCTAATGCTAAAATAATTGATGTCATTGGTATTATTGATATTAACCAAGTTTCTGTCATAATCAGTTACCATTCCTCATATCAACTTTAAATTATGGATTTTTTTTATCACTTTTCTCCATATATTCTGTAACATATAATCTGTTTACAGAATTTTAAATCCAGCCAGCCAGTTGAATTTCCATGAATTCACTGTGGCTGTATAAGAACAGGACACCGTATTCTAAAGACCTGTGGTGCAAAGCACAGATTTTCACAGGATCCTATGAACAAAGTAAACTTCTAATATGGTAATATGGTGCTTATTAAGTAAGCACAATCCAGTCTTTTCAGAACAGAGATAATTATAATGCATGATTTGAAACAACCCCTCCAATTTCATATGCCTTTTCCTGAAGTGCATTTTAATTGTTAGGTTTTTCTAAAGATTAAACACTATCTAATTGCAAGTACAATGGTGTCCAAACTTTGATGGAGAAATTACAGTAGATTGACAGATTTAATAGTGACAGTCATGCCATAACTTTCTTCTATCTGTAAGATCATTACCTCCACAACTGACAACGGCTGAAATAAACATCTCTTGAGATCCACATTAATTTTGATCAAATTAATTTGGAGTTTAGGTGGTATCTACAGAATTTGAAGCCACACAGGGCAAATTCGAATCAGGTATATGACTGAAAATGCACCTCTTTCTTTTATGATATTCTACTGCTGTAGGCATGACTGTATTCACAATTTCTGTACAGTCAGACCACTTACATATTTTCTTAAGAGTTTGCTATAGAAACAAAAAGTAATACTCAAGTCCTTAATAAATTAACTTGCCAAGCTCTGTAGAATCCTCCTGAACAAGACTAAAGTGTGTCAAGTTGTTTTGGTTTTCTTTTCAATACACATGAGAAGTGCTTTTACATGCACTCCCATTAATTAGTATGATTCTTATAAGTCCATTATTCAAGAAATTGCAAATCCAGTGCTAAAACCTCTATTCCTCAGTGAATTTAATGGCTTCTTCAATATTACCAAAATGTCACATTAAAAATATATTGATGAACGTGATGGAATTGAAAAGTGACTTCTTTCTTTCTGAATGTACCATACATCACAGATTTGGCAAGAAGCCAGTTTGTATCCTGGAGATTTAGAATTTGTTTTGACCCTTTCAAACAGTAAGTTTCTTTTTAATGCAGCACTAAATTAGTACTACAACATTGCAGAGGTCTTACTTCATACTCATTCCAGATTTTGTGGCCAATGGAACTATCATGGATGATGGAAGGAAAAAATGAGGAACAGGACCAAGAAAACATGTAACAAGCAGAAAAAAAATATCAAATATTTGTCAAAAAAATATCCAGTGTCAGAACAAAGTAAGCAACAGTAACTATTTCATTTTCAGAATGTTTCCTAAGTGTATCTTACCTGTCATTGACAAAAGTCCATGCCATTTGAACCAGTTTTTGAATTTTATTTTTGTCTCCTGAAAAACGATCAGAAAAAAAAAAAAAAGGACATAAGATTAGGAGGGACAAACAGTTGGAAGCAGAATATTTTTGCACTGTTAATATATTAAGTTCTGGAAATCAATAACAAATATTACTTGCTCACCCTGCAATATTTTACCTTTGAGTTGTTTGGCATATTTGAGAAGAAATTGGTATGGATGTTCCACTTGCAAATCAAACTTTATTGTTTGTAGTAAGATCCTTTCAAGTACCATCACTTCTTCCTATAGAGAGTTAGAGAGTTACAAGGTATTATTCCTTCGTTCACTCAAAAACCCTTCATGCCAGTATAGAGAGCATGACTACACAGCACCTCCAGGCAACCATGTTTGTCTCCAAGGAGAACAGAAAGCTCTCCAACTTATTATTTTAAACTCAGATACCTTTACTTCACATTTATTTAAGTGAGGACAGGGGATGTCGTGTTTAAAATCCCTATTCCTCTGCAGAGGAATGAACTGAACCAGACACAGCATGAAATTGTCAGATATAAAATCACAACAAAAATATAAGCTCTACCACATTTCACACAAAAGTTTCAAGTCCTTCTGCTATTTAAAATAAGCAAATTTTAAGAGAAGCATAGTTTTGCTAAGTCAATACTGTAAACAAGAAACCTCTCAATACTTTTGAGATCCAGTTCACTTATTTAAGATTCACTACTAACTACTTCCTAAAATCCCATTCAGATGATTTATTGCACTGGCTGAAATTACTCCAATTTACTTTAATTTGCAAAATAATATCAGAATTTACATGAAATAAAATGCAAACTTTTTTATGAAAACAATTAATCCAGTAAGCTCCCAAAGCTACTTGTATTAGAAAGAATTACTTTCATAGCTACCAATCACATTACTCAGAAGAGCCATAAATGCATGCTGAACATCTAATTTAATTTAAAACAACTGAAAATCAGTCAATGCTCTACTGAATGTGTGTCACTTTACTACAGTACAACAGGATGAAATCAATTTCAATATGAGTATTTTTACCTTTGGGTCATCTCCAAACTGCCCAAACTGTACATCATTTAGCAAGCTACGAGCTGTTTTAATTATATCTTTACACTTCTTGGGTGTTTCTTCAACCTTTCCTGCTAGGAAGAGACAGCAGGCTCCTGTCACCTAAAAAAAAAGCAAGTACTTTCAAAAAGTGATCTGCATGTAGATATGCAATACAGGATAGCTTTACAAAAGCATTGTCAGTTTCCATTAACAGTTCTGTAGAAGTCTCCCAAGAAAGACTTAACAAGCATACTAATTTATAATTTTAATATAGTGTTAAACTTTTATTTCCTCAGAGGAAAAAAACAGATTTTGGAGGATTGTCTATTTTATATACCTTCATTTCAAGGTCAGAATACCAAAGCACAATTTGTCCCAGCTCAGTGTTGTCTGTCAAGCAGTTTTAAAACTGTATTACACTTCTTTTTTACTTTCAGCTAATACAGAAGTGCCAGCACTACAGCTGCTACGCCTAAAGAACAGTATCAGCAAGTCGTAACTGCAATGCCAGCACATTTCTGAGCATAAAGAAATGTGTAAACAGGCAAGAACAACAAATTTTAAGCTGCAACAATTAAAAGACAAAATGTTAATTTTACATCTTCCTGTAGTGAACAGCAGTAGTAGTACCCAAGTGACTAATCACCATTTCAAATAGTCCCTGCCTAGTGCAATCATTAAGTCATCAATATTCTAAATACTTACATATCTTGGGAACTGTTTGAAGGAATGAAACATATAAAAACGATGGAAATAAATTATTCCGGTTGCTAGAGTGTCATAATGTCTGTGGTGTAGATTAAGGACTTTCAAACAGAACATAAAATAAATTTAAAACCAAACATGCACAATGGATACTGCTTTATCAAGTACTTCAAGTAATTGGCTGTTCAGTGACCAGTTAGAACACAATGCAAGTAAAACAAGAGCTTTAGAAAAAGAAAACCAAAAAGCCACAAAAGTCCTTGAAGCTGTGTAAATGCTATGATTACACCCAGATGCAGCTGATATCTAAAGCATTTGTTGTAAGTGTGCAAAGTCCTGGTTGTATTTACAAGAGGATGCACTTAAGGTCATCCCTGTGTTGCACCATACCTGCTTCAGAGAAGGTCAAACCCAGCAGTAGGTACAGAAGGAACAGAACAATTATCACTTCAAATTCAAATGCTGGTGTGGAGGAAAGTTACTATTCACACCTACAAATGCAAATAAAATCTGAACATGCTCCCTAATCTTCACTTTAAGAAAAGTAAAAATTTTGTCTTCACTATGCTTTATTAAAGAAAGAACTAAGATTGAAGGAAACATGGGAAGAAGAAAATTTAAGTGGCCATCTATGAGAGAGTGGGACAGTCAGAAGGAGTTGTAAATCCCAAACCAATGAAACAAAAAAAACCAGCCACCAAAGACTAAGACTGGAGAGGCAGAGGTTAGAAGCTTCAAAGGCATAATCAAAAAACTGAGGGAAAAATTCAACATTTGAGAAGTCACGTATATTCATACAGTGAAACACTGAGTTTCCTAACTCACAGAAGTTACTCTTAATTTGAAAGTTTGTAGCATCTTACTTCCCTCTCGCCAAATTGGAACCTTGTTTAGCCAATGAATGGATAGAAATTGTGTAGGAACACATTACATCGAAGGCACATAAACACAAATATATTTTTGATTAACAATTAAACATCTGAACAGCTGAGGATATCACATTTCTTGTACATTTTATTCTGAAAACTCACTACTCATAAAGACATTTCATACCAACACGAGTTCAAAGGATACAGCCCTAAACGTGTTCCCACATCGAATATGAATCTGGCCCCTTCCCTGCGGTATCGTGCCTCCGTAGCTGGATCAAGCCCTTCAAGCTGTGATGGTGTATGTGCCAAATCTTTCTTATCCCAGTACCAGCATGGCTTTGTATGGTCCAGGTTTGCCAAGTTTACAGAAGGGCTGGAATTTTCTTTATTCTCCTTCATTTATTAAAACAGAATTGTTTTTGCTTTTTAAATTTTCAAAAACGAAGTCTTCAGAGAGTCACTTCAGGACCTTGAAGAAAAGAAAAAAGGAATTCTTTAAAAATAGAGACAGCTGTCCCCTCTGGTTCCTGCTCAAAGAGGAGTAAAGATGAATAGTGCTTAGCCTTGCCTGTTGGAAAGAACTTTTTCCTATGCTCAAAGAAAAGTAACCAAGAACTTTGCCTTTATCCTCCCCATATATTGCAAACACGATCAAAGAAAAAGCCATAGATTATCCTTGCTATTATCTGTTTAATAAGGAAACTCAAGAATACATCTCCAACGATATCTTGCTATTTCTTAGTACAACAACTTCCACCTACTTTGTCCATAAAAGTAGGAAAAACAATTCAGTGATGGCTGCAGAAAGATTTGAAAAGTTAGTGGGATTAGCTGACTCTTGGTAACTAGGAAGGGCACTGGTGAGCTGAGCTTGAATGGCCACTGAAATATCTGCCTGCTCCCAGGGATACCCCAGCAGCAACCACTTGGCAGAAGCTTTGCAAAGTGAGCTGTGATGCATTACTTAAAGAAAAAAAATGCATCAATGTTCTTTCACCTACCAAGATTAAGACGATGGCAGTGAGTTTGTAGAGTAAGGTAGCACCTAAAATCATCCTCCAAACAAGGCAACTGAAAACACTCCAGGAGTCTCCTACTTTCCTGTGTTTACCAGCACTTTGTGTACATAGGTGCAGATCACAAAGCTCTGCAGGCGCCTTTCTGGGGTTTGAATTATGACAGACGTTCAGCCGTGCCTCAGCTTACAGAATGAACATTCGCTGCCTTTATTTCTTTCAGGCACAAAACTGCTCTTACTCCAATTCAACTACAGATACTATGCACAGATTACTGCAGTCACCTGCAAAGGTTTGCATAACAGGCTGTGATCAACATATGATGCAATGTATTCGCTCGAAGCAAGGCAGTCATAGGAAGACCCAAACTTATAACTCTTACAATCAGCTATTACTTTTCGAGACGTTTCCCTTCCGACAACGGAAGTTAGATCACGTGAACGGCCACAGAACGCTGCCTGTAGTCAGCACCTCGCTCACCTTCAAAAAGTTTCTCTTTTTCAGAATAAGGGAAACTGTCTTTGCCTCAGGGTGGTTTTGGAATCACCTTCACAACTCGTAGAATCGGTCACAGACAGATCTAAATTCTGTCACAAGAAAAAGTAAATGGCTACTAAAAACTATTTCCAGAATCAACAAAAGCGCGCCAGGCCACGACCACACATTCCCATCGTATTTACTAGAAAGGTGCTGTTTTTTATAACTGTAAAGATCCTTCTTTCTTATAAGATATTTTGCTTTCTAACTTCTAAAGCGCTTAAACACCAGTTAACACTAAAAGCGCCTGAAGCAACAAGATCTGCTTCTATAAAGGAGCGAAAGCATTTCCGAACACGGAACCAGGAACGACAATTATCACCCGCAAACATTTTAAATGAACCATCTCAAACGTCCCCATCCAGACCGCAACGCCCGGAAATAATAAGTTTTCCCTGCCTTTTTACGCACCCCATTAAACTGGAGGAGTGTTCCAGAGCTCGATCGCGGCTTTTTTATACCTTACCTGAGACAAACCCGCCGACCGCGGCTCCGCCCCTGCAGCCCCAACCCGGCCGGGG